CTTGCGCACAACTCCCACAGATAGATGTGAACCCCGAAATGATTTTCTTCTTTCGTGGCGACTACACATTCTTCATTCTAAGTCTCACGGCACGATACTGAACGATGAACTTACCGAAAACCTTTGTCATATATTCTGAATCTATGAGAAGATATTTCTTTTACAACGCTAAGGCTGACTCGCGTTTTACCACGGTAGTAAGTAATACCTTCGAAAACCTTAGTGTTAAGGTTTTTAGCTGCATTACAATTAAAACATTAAAGCTGAAATATTGTGATACTGAATTGATGTGCCATTTGCATGCACTTGATAGAAAGTTGAAAGAGAGAATCGTTATGAAGCTAGTGGTTTCCGATTAAGGTTTCTAATTGACAAGAATGCCTGAAAGTAGTTAAACCTGCGTAGCGTAGCGCAATATTATAAGCGCCCTGGGATAAATATATGATCTTAGGTTCGATATCCCTTCCCTTATCCCTTAGGCCATACAAATTGGTACAGCATTTGTACTGGAGGAAAAAACAAGCCTTTGACACATCGGTAGTTCACCGCAAGTCATTGCACAGGAGAAGTATAAATCTGGTGAACTTTGCGATTCCACGAATAGTGTTTAATGCATGATGCATTCCTAAGGTGATCTTGATCAACACTGAATGTTTTACACTTTAAGAACCAATATTTCAAAACACAACGCGATAAAAAATGGAAGGACATTGTAAAAGAATAAGTTACGACCTTGAAACATCTACGATGCATAAACTCTTGTCGGTTATTTTCCCGCGATATCTGGAATCTGATGGAGGCCGAAACCATCAAATATGGACGACTGGGGAACAAGTCGTGATGGTGCACAACTACTGAAGGTGTGAAGAAACAAATAATCGTGCTAAGCGATACCAGAATTATAAAATGAATATCCATCAGATACAGCAAATGAAAGCAAATTTCTTTCTGCATTGAGTGAGCAATAGTAAGTTAAAAATCGTAAATTTTTAGAAGGTAACGTAGTGATTTTTTTTGTCGTAACGAAGCAATGGTTTCCTCGCGATTCGGAACAATTTGACTGGACGAACTAAGGTTCGGTGCACATCTTAGGTTTCCATTAATAATGTAGAATGCTCACAGAATTGTGTAAAGACAAGGCAACTTAGCAACACGCTTAGGCCCTGAAGAAAGTAAAGTCGCCAAAAAGTTAGCATCGAACAGCAAAATACGTGGTGGCAAGCTAGCATCAGCTTTAAATGAAGAACTCGTATGAAAATATAAGTGAATGAATGCCGAGGTTAATCGATGGTCGGCTTTTCGTTTGACCTAAGGACAGTTCTAATCCCTGAGAACGAGCAAACTCGAGGAAAGGTCTTCAAAATTCTTTAGAGTACTTTGGTGCTTGGAAAAAATGGACCTATGTTTTTTCCCATATGCCTGAATCGTAAGAGCCTGACGAAGTCGAAAGATTCAACGTAGAGGTTTTAAAATAGAGGTCAGAATCACCGACGGAAAACAACTAAGACTGAGAAAATTTCGACTTCTAAGTCGCTATTGAGTTGATAGAGACATCTTTATACTCACTTATATCCAACTAACAAAAGACGCGAGGTTGTTCCTTTTTACAGGTGTGAGGAATCGGCACAACCGGTCCGCGACGATTTTGTTCTCCTCGACCAATGAGCGCTCATAGTGACGGAAGTTTCCACATTTTTTTTCGAATATTATCTTTCAAAACTAGAAAGCTGCTCCTTCTCAATGAATTCGAATTTACAAATACTCTTGGCTGACTATTTATAGAATACTTGAATATAGAAAACCCTATGAGCTCATATTGCTTTGTTTTCTGGCGTTAAAGTCTCTTAGGGTTTGATGGGTTTGGAATGATTGTTGCCATATTCCTCTATACAACCGTTCTATTCAAGCAGATAGAAAAAAAACGAAGAGGGCAGTGTGTATGAAACCGGTATTTTACGATTTAACCATACAGAACAGATTTTTCCATCATTTTAGCCACAAATTGGGTTTCAAAAATATTTCGTTTTCGAAGATTTATGTTGTCATGTTAATCCTAAGTATGCATCCCAAGTATTCCAAGTAATTCAACTTTTCCTTGTTTTTCCTTTCCTTTTACAACTGCGATGTCCTTATGTGAGATTTCAAAAAAATTCTTGCGATCTTTTGTACATCTTCAAGTCTTGCCTGTCTCGCAAACGATTGATGAGATCTCCGAGCTGAAAACAGGAAGGAATGAAGCGATGTTTGGACAATATACCAGATTAGGTGGAACGTTCCACCGATGATCCGAAATTCTGTGCGCGTATGATGTCGTGGAAACTTTGCTTCTCTTTGCCTCTTTCGCATTTTTCTCTTCCTTTAATACAGAGCTAACAAAGTGTTGGTGTGAAACTTCGTTCAGCTAGCCTTTCCTTCTTCAGAGCCGGAATGATTCGAGTCGATTTTCCACAGATTAATCTTACGATGTAATCTTTTATTAAATCGTCTAACTTACATTGTTGACTATTACTAACGCCGTTGACCGCAAATGCTTCCAATTTGGCTAGCAGCAAAAGAAAAAAAGTATTCAATTTCAGTTCCTGTGGTTACATTTTCCTCGCTGAGGCCATTAACCCTTGTAAGCATGCGTTTAGTCGACGACCCAACTTCCATTCCTCACTAACGATTTCCGTCAAAAGGCGTATCCCCCTTATCAGAAGAACAGTGGAATAACACTGAGATGGCTGGTGTTTTGAAAGTCATTATATTCATTAGGAACTGCTTTAGAGCAAGACTTTTGAGAGGGAAATTTGGTTGGCAATGAATGTATGCGTGGACAAAAATATCGTCGCCATTTTGCGAACGGGGCCTTCTCTACTTCTCCTACATGATTTCATCCTCAAACGTGGGCAAACGTCCATAATGCGGCAAGATTTCGGAGATCGTGTCACCAGATTCGAAGAATTTGAGCCACCGAAACACTGCGGAATGTTGAACGACATTGTCGCAAATGTTTCAAATGATAGTATCTTAGGTGGCTCTCCGAGTGTCCTTGAGTAAGTGATAAGGTGAAAAATAGACGATTGGTTGATTCCCTATACACGTTTTTGCGAGTAGAGCCACCTTACGATCTCAAAGTCCCTTTTACTTGATACTTGAATACTTGAATGGCTTGTCCTCACTGGTTGTGCTGACCCTAGCATAATGTCCATTTTTCAGAGATTTACTGATTAAGCCATTATGGTTCCCTGGAGTTTCGAGGTCAGCCTGGCCAAAGTCCACCCCAGGTCTTCACCACAACAGGCAGTCGCAGCCCTTGCGGATCAGAGGGAGATTTACCACCAAGCGACTTTGATACCAGGACGGTGGTGATTCCTGATGCTGGTTTACTCTTAGCTAGGCTTTCTGATGTAAACGCCGACTCAGCTTCGAAGACCCTGCCAGTGGATGAATCCTCTCACTCGCCTGAATCCTCCTGTACATCGCAGTCCGACACCCAGGAGCACCTCTCAGTCACGATGAGGCGGTAAACTGTTGGGAGGCAAAGTCACTTTTGGCTTTCGAAACTCCAGCGAAAGAAAATCCTACACGAATTAAATCTTGCTCAACCAGCAAATTACTAGTCAGATGAAAATTGTTCAGAAACTCATGCGGTTCTTCGGCATTTCTGAATATTCAAGTATTAAAGTGTTTAGGTAAGTATAGCTAGAAAGGCAAACGCATGATTGGGATCTTCTGACTTCCTCTTTTCCTTAACATACGTTGTCTTATCTTGTTATTTATCACAATTTTTATTTCGAGGAGCCTGTTACCAAGAACCTCGAAGAAACATGGATAGAGTTGGCCTGGGCAGAACTGGGAGCAAGTGGTCAAGCCAGAGTCTCGAGCGCATTGAACGGCACCACCTCCCTTCCCCTGAGTTACCCTCATCCTGAAAGTTGTGATGATTTTTCACAATCATTTTGCTAGCAGATAAATCTTGTTCGTTTAAAAGAAGTGAAAGTTGTGGGAAAACTTTTTGTGTTTCATCTGATCTTTCACCGTCTAGTTATGATATACTTGACATTCATGTATTTTGCACTTATCCACTGGAAATGATTGTTGAGCACTTGGTTCGAACTGTCCCTACATTTTCTTCGCGTGTGTTTTCATGTCTTCCTCACAATGAAATTCTCCACGTGAACGAAAGCACACCGTTATTTAAACAAATGTGCCTTTTCAGGTTGTTCGATTTCACCGTTTAGTTAATTTATTTAAGCATATCTAGTTATAAATATTCATTTGTAACGGGCAGTGCTTTGTTTTCTTGAGTTGAATGGCCTGTCACTTCATTATTGAGCGCGATGTTGGTTAGTTTTTGAGTCCTTAATAGTACACATGGGCGCGTGTAACGCACTGGTCGGCGACGCACTGCTGTACATATGGGATCGATCCCTGCGCCCCAGGCCCACTAAGCCCTTCATCCTTCCGGATTCGGCAAATTGGTACCAGACTTGTCTGAGAGGTTAGCAGCACTGTCTCGATACATCAGTAGGCCACCGTGAGTCATTGTAAAGGGCAGATATGCATTCAATCACCTCCTAAAAGTGCTTAATGAGGTCGAATGCGTGGCGCATTCCTCTGAGACTGATTAACGTCGAGAACTTTTTTAAATAGTACATTAACATTTGCACAATTACAAGTCATAAATTCGAAAACTGTCGTTATTTTTTGCTATGACGGCTCTAGGCAGCATTTTTGAAAGCATTCACATTATTTACTAACCACTCATCCATATTTGCTTTCATCGCTTCTTTTCCTGGTTGTTTCTCTTTCTTCCTAAACTAACCTCTGATGAAAGCGATTATCTCGAACGTTTTTTTGGTAACATTGAAATGATACAGAATGACTATCAACAAACCAAAATAGATTTATTTTCAGAGAACTAGCCAACTTCCGTACGCTAATAGATCTGGTTTTATATGAAACTCCACTAGCATTAACGAGCACATGTGATGGCTGGAACAGTTTTTCAGGGTTCCATGTTGTGGCTGCTTCTATTAATTCCGCTTGGCCACTCAACGTCTCGACTACCGTTGCACGAGAGCATAGGATCGAATAGTCCCGGTTACAAGATCGCCTCTAGAATCCTTACAGCATCTATTAACTTCTCGGTAAGCTTTTATTTACATCACATTTATGAACAATATACGAAACCTCCGTAAAAAATTGGTTGATAGCAAATGACCTGTTTATTACATCCATAGAAAGCGCTCTAACTAAATCCATATAACTGTAATTTTCTTTTGTGAAAATAACCCAACACCACATACTACGCATATCTAGGCACTACTTTTACTCGATTCATTTCCTAGTACCAACCATCCAATAATGTCTGTGGATGATTGTGTAATTCGACTGTTGCTTGACGAGTTTTGGTTGTCTGCGTCAATATGACAGGCGGTTGTTCGAGGGAACTTTTCCTGAGGTCCTCGTATAGCTGTGCTTGAACGATTCCACGTCTTGTGAATTGGAAGGAGTGTTTTAAAAAAAACCTAATAGAAGTCTTATTGTACCGGAGAGAGAGAGATCTTGATCGGGCCAGCGTGGGGTCAACGGGCTTACGTCTATTGAACGGCATTACGACCACAATAATTTTTTCCACAAGATCCGGCATCTAGTATAATGTACGAATTCCACTACTTTTTGTCATGCGCTATCACTGCTTTATCCCGGTTAATCAAGTAGGCAGGATCTATAGATTAGAAAGCGATCAGTGCCGCCATCCATATTCTAGACCTTTCCTTTTTTATAAACTGTCAGATCCTATGTTCATTCTTGTGAAGCCTTGATGTTTCCATAAACTCTGCTACATTTTACAACAGTTTTGAGTGTGAAATTACTGCTAGATTCCTTCACCATCTCTCAGTTCCAGTGATATTGCACTTTTAGGTGAACATATGTATTTGTGGCTCCTTCTCATTTTTCTGCTTTGCGTTTTTTTTAGCTTTTAGTCCGTGATCACTGTTAGGCGCTGCTCCGTGACAAAAAAATTTCCCAATTCCTTTCTTATTCGATTGCTTCTAAATAAAATTACAGTCGAGTATATTAAACATTATAGTACAACATGATTCACAATAGTGGATTTGCATCCACATAAGTTTTACTACTTTATAACTAGTCTTTCATTAGCAAAAGAGACAAGATGGATTACAATACAGTGCGCACACCCTCACTGTGACTTCTTTGATTTACGCTTACGTTGAGTGTGAAGAATATAAGAAAGGAAAAGTAGCACCCATTTAGAAGGTTCTCTCATCAAACATTATTGTTGAGTGGTGGAGAATTAGAAGTTCTGTTGCGTTGATTTTTTTCATTTAACTCATTGTCATCTTGTTTAGGTTGATCCATGTGTGAACTTCTTTGAATTCGCTTGTGGGAACTGGAAAGCCGAACACCCAATTCCAAGTCATAAGACCAGCTACTCTCAGTTTATCGTCTTGTTCGACAAAGTCCAAGCGGAAATGAAAAGTAGTAATTTTAGTTTTCAAAATGGACCTCCTACTATAATTTATAACGGTGTTAATAAGGGACGTAGTAGACGCGGTCCTGAGATGAAGTAATCTAATTAGACAATTAGGTGTTTCCCTGCTAAGTGCAAACACAACGCACGAGGTTGTTATTATACGCTATTTATTTACGACAGCTAACGTTTATAACGGGGAGCGTGTGGAGCAGTGGTTGGAGGCGCCACTGCGACACACACGTGGAATGGATCCCCGCGCCCTCGGCCCACCAAACCTTCCATCCCTCCGGGGTCAGGAAATTGGTATCAGACTTGTCTAGGATGATAGCAACACTGGCTCGATACATTGGTAAGCCAACGTGAGTCATTATAAACGCCAGATATGCATTCAATCACCTCCAACGATACTTAATGAAGTCGAATGCATAGCGTATCCCTCAGGGATTGATTAACGCCAAGAGCTTTATCCTTTATCCTTTTCAACGCTTATACCGCCTTCGCCTTGTTCAGAGCCTGGAAAATATCACGTTAACTGCAATCTAGTCGTCCAAACACCTCCATAACCTCAACAGAAAAACCACGAAAACTGTATTTCAATCGCGTTGGCAATAAAAACACCGACTTTCTTTTAACCCCGGCACTGATTGATAATTCGATGTTTTTATTCAATAAGCAGACACGAGGCTGTTATTATAGAATTTATTAGGATACAATAGCTGACGTTTCGGCGGTTTCGCCTTCTTCAGAGCCTCGGAAGGTCAAATTGAGATGCGATCTACTTAGCCAAACACTTTCATAACCCCAGCAGATAAAACTTCGCAAATGAATTTACACTCCCATAAGAAACAGCTTTATTTAAACACCTACCGTTTATTTGTTGTAAGTACTTTAGTTGATGGATAGCAACCGCACAGAGGCCGATAACTGTGTCTGTGTCAGGTCAATGGATTAGTCTGAGGTATGGCGCCAGGTCACTCGTGATGACAAGACACTCCTTCTTGCGGTTCATTTTTGAATTTAGAAAAAAGTTTAGTTCGAACCTTACAGCTGCGCAAAAATCTGGTATGCGACAAGTTCGAGAGCTAATAAAATCAAAGGCTATTAGACTATCAGTTAGTGATAAGGGCGGAGAGTTTGTAGTGATTCCTCGTCAATTAGATGTCGATATAACGGTAAAACATCTTGAAGACGCATCTCTTTATCGCACATCAACTGAAAAGCAATTCAGCAGTCAAAATCGAAAACTGAACAACGAATGGGTTAAAATGGCAAGCGCAGCAGGTTTAAAACCAGCAGACATTTCGCATCTTAAGATCGAAGTGCCGACATGTCCCCTCTTATACTTACTTATGAAGACCCATAAGTTAATATCCGCTGATGATCGGGCGTCTACCCACCTCTCCACCTTTAAAGTTAGACCCACCATCAGTTGTGTAGACGAGCCTACAGATAGAACTGCTTGGTTTATAAATCTAATCCTCAAGCAGTTGCTTAAGCACATACTAGCCCATCTCACGACTCACGAACACCCAAATGTTCCTAGACCGTCTGCGCAACGCACGTCCCAAAAGCGCGTACGTTATAGAGTCGTTCGACGTTACCGCCCTTTACAATAACGTGTCGAACGACTCCGCAATGCAGGCCATACGAGAGCTTCTTGAGCAACACGAAGGAACAATTAGCATGTATGGCTTTTCGATCCAGCAGCTTATGATGGTCCTCCAAAGGTCTGTTTAAACTGCTCGATCTTCAGATGGTCCGGGAAATATTACGCACAAATTGGAGGGTTGGCAATGGGACAGCGACTGGCACCAACCCTTGCCGTTGCCTTTATGCCTAAAGTGGAAGCACCAGTAATCGATCTCAGGCCGTTACTCTACTGTAGGTATATAGACGATTGTTTTGTCATCTGCTCCACACAAGAGGAGATGGTCAAATGCTTTGTGTTATTGAACGAGCAGTCAGAGTGCATAACTAGGGATAGGATAGTGGCTTTATTTGTTAACTTTTTATCTGCTATCTGCTGGGGTTATGAAAGTGTTTGGCTGAGTAGATTTTATCTCAATTTGACCTTTCCAGACCCTGAAGAAGGCGAAACCGCTGAAACATCAGCTATTGTATCCTAGTAAATTCTATAATAACAACTACGTGTCTGCTTATTGAAGAAAAATATCGGATAAAAACACCTTCGCACACTTACCGCTACACATGAGCCCTCCACTGAGGTTGCTTCGTTCAAGCGAAGCTCCACTGAAAAAGACTCCATTAGATACGATGACGAAGACACCACACCGAGAAGGTGAAGGGCTGTGGACATTTACTTGACTGGCTCTGAAGAAGATGAAGACGTCGAAGACGTTAGCTGAATAAATCTTTATATCAACCTTCTGTTAGCTTAGTAATCCAAGAAGAAAAAACTTCGACTGCACTTTTCACGTACAGAACAACTGTACAGAGCTCACATGGATGGGTAATTATCACCTCTCATGTTAAAACAACGGTCTGAGATATTGCGTGCGATCACGTGTGAAAACAGCGTACTCCTCCCAGCATTTATTTTTGCACCCGTGGCATTTATCCAGAATGTTTAGAGGGTTTTACGCGTTTTTAGATTACTGTGTGAAGACGGTGACTTCTACTTCGAAATTTTCCCGTTATGTGTCTGTATCCTTTGCGCGACTACTAGAGCATCCTGTTTAACTTTCCGCTTGCCGTCTAGGTGCTCTTTTATACGGACACGTACCAGTCTACCAGTTACATCAATATATTCGCCTTCGTTCGCATTACAAGGAATCAAATAAATCTTTCTCTAACTCATGCAAACACTGTGGCTACCATTAGTGCATATTATGCAATTTTGCATTCAGCATGGTTGATCTCACAAAGGGATACGAAACAGCTGGCATCTTAGAGTGTTCTCTAGCAACTTAATCACTGCTAACGCTATCTCTAGAGCAGCCCTATTAAGTGATGTATTATGGCGATGCTTATTATTATTTTGCAATACCGAGGTTAAGAAAAAGTCAGTCTTGTGAATGATCTAATTAGAGTTCTGGCAGCCAAATCGTCTAGTCTTTACTGTTCGATTTATGATGAACGCTTTCAGAAATTTTTGAATCGTCAGAGGTGTACCCATCGAAATCAGAAAGTGCTTTAAAGGCGATGTATCGGAGATGCATGGACAAAGACGAGCTCAACCGGATTGGTGCAAGAAAGTTGATAGAGACAATAAGGGTGGGCCATCTATGAACTCAATGTGTCCTTACTGTATCGAAGAAACTCAGTAGAACATTGAAATATTTTCGTTTCGAGTTATCGAATAAGAGTAAATACTTGATAATTAAATCGGCGCTCCCTCAATAAACATACTTCATCATTCGATGGGAAATCGTTTTTAACACACGAAAAAGAAATAAGACAGGATTCAGAGCTATGGCGAATGGCCAATGCTGGAAGGAAACAAGTGGCGTGCCGATCAGTTTGATTTGACAACGCTTCTTATCAACATCGCAGCGGTTAGAGGAGTTGATATTTTTATTACTAACTACGTCACACTAGACAACAAGAATGTTTCCCGGAGACTGATAGAGGTAAAAAACTTCATCTCGCGTCGGGTTTTCGCTGAAAAACAACTTTCCATGAGAAAACTCTTTGTTTCTTATTAGTGGAAAACGTGTTTTTACATTACAGCTCTCTTTTAGTTCGACCAAGGAGAACTTGGCTTGGGTGCTTCTACTCGTGATTACTATTTGGACAGAAAAAAGCATGGGAAAAAAATCGCTGCCTACAGTGAATACCTCATCAGCAAGGTTGGTGCTCAGATTTTTTGTGTGAATAAGTGTTTTTTTCTTGAAAGAAATAAGAATTGGGATGGATACATAACCACAATGTGAAGAAAAAAACTTGTAAAATTGAATGTTTAAGGTAAAACTCTTTCACGAAGACGCCGGTCTTCCTATAAATGAAAAGAAAATTACAAGCGATGTGGATGAGATCATCCAACTGGAAACCGAGCTGGCGAAAATCTTGGTAGCCGAGGAGGATCGAAGGAATTACACTAAAATGTACAATCTGAGACACCTCAGTGATATGCAAACACTCATGCCTTTGGTGAGAGTTTCGATTACCAGGAAAACACAAGCGGATCGAAGAGTAACAATAGATTCTTTTTTCAAGTGGCATATCCAAGAGCAAAATTACGGACTTTGAAATAGCGCCTAAAATTTTAAATACCCTCTACGTAAAATGTTCAACTGTTTTCTCATCCCCTCCAAATACATTCACGACCGTAGGAATTATGCATGACTAATGTACGCCAAATATGTTCGTAGATTTTTCCTTTGAATATATTCTAGCTTAATGTGGAACGTATTAATGGAAATAAGAGTGAAGAGAATCTTCACAACTGTCTATGACAGGACTAAGCTTTCATAGTCTACTAAGTTGAAAAGGCGACTTTTTTGTGCCTATTAGCTTTTTTCTCTTGACTTTCCATTATGGCCTCTATTTGGAACTGCAAAGCAATCGATCAAGCGGGGCTTTCTCCACCGCTAGACGATGGTGACCTTGATGTAATATTCCCATTTGCAGCTGATGCGTTTCTGTAGCAAATTTCACAAACTTCAATTGTGTCTTCAACTTTTTATTTACTGCCTATTATAATTTTTACGGTATTATATGTGATACGACCACAATTATGCTGAGATATTTGCAAAACTCCAGACCGCAGCTGTCTGCGGCGGGGAACGAACGCGCTACTACCGTTTCCGGGGCAAACGCGTTCTCCACCACACCACGAAAGCTCGTTCCTCACCGCAGACACCTGTGGCCCGCAGTTCTGCAAATATCCTAGCACCATTGCGGTTTGTGTCTCCGATTATTTGAAATTCTGAAATTTGAATTAAGGTTATAGTCTGAAAAATCTAGTTTGCAAAATTCGCACCTATCTTTAAACCGAGAAAGCAAATTTTCTTTCATAAAAACTCTCAAAACCTCAACTGCTCTAATGATCGAGAACTTATAAGAAGCTATAGAACAGCCAGCATGGTCGCGATTGGAAAGAAGGGCACAGGATCAGTTTTCTGCTGCGACATTCAATAAAATTAAAAGGCTTTAGAGTGTTTCTTTTGTAATTGATAGAATATCAATGTTTTCAGGTTGACTGGACCAGATATTTCCATTCCATTGCGCCATTTTCACTTAACAAGTATCTGGCTAGTGACCCGCAAATACTCATAACAGAAATCGATTTCATGAAAAGGTAGGGGCGAATGTGCAGAACCATTCTCGCTTCTGGAAATCATAGGTATATTCCAGAGTTAGCCGTTTGATAAACTCGACAGATCCAAGGATTATCACAAATTATGCCTACCTTTCGTATGCCTCCAGTTGGGGCGGCGAGCTAGGTGAGCGATATGAGGACATCGCTCAGGTTTGTAGGATTTCGATTCTCTTAGGGAACAATTAGTAATTTTCTTAATAGAGTAATTCAGTGATCAGCATTATTTGGATACACCGTCTACTTATAAAAATCTTCTTACAGTGTAAAACTTTTCATTTTTGCAGCATAAATTCACCAAACTAAGAGAGAAGCGTAGTGGAAGTGATGGCGCTCATCACAAGCATCTGCTGGTTTGATCTCTCACCGAATTAACCAAATCTCTCATCACAGCGGGGTTTGAAAAGTTGATAGCACACTTCCCAGGATCCAACTCATTTCTCTAATTCTAAAAGGGACGTTCTAAGACAGAACGTCCCAGGACTCGTAGGAGAGCAAACTTGGTCAGCATTCAATTACATTCATTAGGAAAAAAAGATATCAACCTTCAAGCAGCAGTCAAATCCAGAAAAGTCCGAAGATCTTCGTGAATGATGCATGCAGGAAAACAAATAAAAAGAGGGAAGTTGCTGAGATCAGCACAGTAGAACTTAAGATAGGTGAAGTCAAAAGCCACCGAATATTCTTTATTTTCTGTTTTTCTTCAACGAACAAACAGGAGTTTGGTATTACAGAAATTATTAGCACACAATAGTTGACGTTTCGACTATTTTGACTTCTTCTGACCCTGATAGGTCAAATTCATATGCAGTCTGCTCAGTCAAACACTTTCGTAACCTTAGCAGATAAGACCTAACATATAAATTTGCATTTTCATAATAAACAGCATTGTGGCAAGGATGGTAAGTAGTAACAACATCATGGTTCATTACTTCTCTTCTCACCCCTTACACACCAAAAGAATGCTTGTTAGAAATATGTTTCGAAGAGCCGCCAGCATGTTCACAGGAAGAGAGCAGAAGGAAGAATCCTTGAAATTGGCGCGGCAACTAGCCATTTCGAATGGCTACGAAACTGTGGCTTCTTGGCATAGTCACAATAAGAAAACCACCCTTGAACGATAATTTTAGCGAGAATAAAGTTCTTTCTATCCTGCCGTTTGTTTCCAACGAAAGAGGCCCGGCTATAAAACGTTGCTTAAGAAGGGCCGGTCTAGAGAATTTGGTAACAGCGATAGAAATACCACCGGACACTCTATGACGCCAGCTGGTTCGTAACCGCACGTGTAACCGTCTATGTACAACGGAAAACTGCATACTATGCCCTAACGGTAGAGTCGGTGACTGCGTGAGTGTAGGTACGGTGTGTTTAATCTCTTGTGGAGCATATGGGGATGAATACTTTGGCGAATCGGGTAGACCACTCTGCGCCCGTTTGAAAAAAATTTAAATTGGAACCAAACACTCCACTAGGCGCAAATGACACAAAAATAAAACGGAGATTTTGACATAAAAGCCACATTCCTCACACAGGAATCAAAAACATCGGCGCAAAGAACTCTTGAAGCGTTTTGGATCAATTCCGAAAATCCGAGAATGAACGGCAAAGAGGAGTGTCTTGTGATCACGCGTGACCTCACAGAATATCTCAAACTGATATTTAAACGTGTGAGGGGTGCATTACCCATCCATGTAAACTCTGCACGATTTGTCTCACGTGGAGTATTCATTGAAGGGCTCATATTAACCTGTAAGTGTGTGAAGGAGCTCTTCTGTTCTTAATTCGATTGAAATGTAAGTGTCGTCGTTCTTTGTTGACGTTAAGGGGTGTAAGACTGACTAGATTGCAGCTAACTTGACCTTAGTAGGGTATGAAGAGGGTGAAACAGCTGAAACGTTAACTACTGCGGGTGACTGATGTAATAAACAACAATTTTGTGTGTACTTTTCAAAACCACAGCAAACTAGAAAATTTTTTAAACAAATTTGTTTGAAGGAGTTTCGGAACGTCATGTACGGTCAAAAAAGGAAGGCACCTCGGTGGAAAGACTGCACAACAGCGACTATGCATCGATTGAAATACGCTGCTGGTGCTCTCTACATTAAGAAATCGTTCAATGAGGTAGGCTCTTGATTACTGAAATTCAAGGCTCTTTGTCGTGTCATAGTCTGTTATCGTTTCAAAGTGCACTCTTTAGCTTTTAAAAGTAAACCTTAGCTGAGATGAGAAAAAGGGCGAATATTTGCACAACAGCGACGTTCTTCGAGAACTGGACCACTAAAATATGTCAAGCAATGTATAGGTTCTTCTGTTTTCAAGTTTTTCATAGTTTGAAACTGAGTAATTCTCAGGCATCGAAAAACGTGACACTTGAGATGGTAAACGATCTACAAGATGCATTCCACAACATGGTGGTTGATAGTGATTGGATGGATGAGACAACGAAAGCCGTTAGTGCAAAATCTTTTCAAAATAAAGGGTACTGAAATAAATTCGAAGAAGTTTTCTAGAGAGCGCTTGACAAAGCGGGGAAAATGCTACGACAAATTGGTTATCCAGAGTTCATACTCGACGAGGAAAAGCTGGACGATTATTACAGTGGGGTGAGCATAAATTTATGAAATTCCATCCCAGAATCACCATTTGCAAACTGGAAGTAGCCTCCTTTTCCAACAACTAAATGTTACGATTGCTACTTCCGATAATCGAAAACATAGAGAGTTTCAAATGCTGAAGGAACCATGTAATACAGTTTTACAATGTGGAGCCACATTTCATGTATTTGTTACAAATGAATTAAAATTATAAAGATGGTATTCCTTACATATTCCTTTTCTCAATGAATTGTTGCAATGATTGAAATGACATGAAGGTTTAGCAATAGGATCTCCTTCCTGTTCTGCTCGATAACACTTAACAACGCAAAATATTATTAGTATTCAACCTGTGTTTCAAGCAGAGTGTGCACAATACCTCGTAGGACCTCCCAGGCTGTCCAAACGGAATTTATTTCCAGCCAGGAAACAAGCGTGGAGTTGGCCAAGTTTACGCTAGAACCCAACAGCTCCATTCTCACTATGCTTACCTACTTCGATTCTTGGATGACCCGTCTCCACTGGTAGTTCAGCCCTCAGCAGATTTTCTTGTCATTTCTTCCCAACGAAATAACCATTTTTGTGACCTTCTTCGAACACTGTGAAATCCGTGAAGTCGATTTTTTAATCTTGAAATCGTCTTAAGTTCTGAATGCAGATGATTGACTTTAGCCACAAACACATCTGCCTATCGTTGGAGTAGTCGTTCAAGAGGACCCTTGAAATCTACTCCACTCTACTTTTCGGCTACCTGTGATCCGTTTTTCTTATTACGTGACAGGCCTTTCTGTGTTTAGCTAACGTTGTGTGTTCTCCTGGATCCCGAAGATAGGATGGGTTTCAAAGATCTGGGATGCGCATTCCATCTTGACGTTGTGAGTGCTGGTTAAATTTCTGGAAACATTGTTCAAACGTTTTGTGAGTGGTGCACAGATTTTTCGACGTCGTTGAAGCATGAGCCCAAATCTCTGTCGCATATCAGAGTGCTGGAACGGCTGTTGAATCAAAGTTGGGTCTATTAGTTGGATGGTGAGGTCTTTCTTAAGAGGTTCGATTGCGACCCATTCCTTTATGTTGTTTTCCTTTTTCCCTGAGAATCGAGAGTACACATACTAGGTCGCCTCTGTAATCAGAAAAGCATCCAGTGCGATTTTTTCACTTTTCCGTCATGGGGGTTCTTCATCAGCTTAGTTTTTGCCCTATTCATGCGAAGTCCAACCTTTTCCCTCCTCCGTTGAGTTCTCACTGAACATCGTCCCTGCTTCAAAGATACTCTTCAAAAACATGACGATTCCAAAAGTAGAACAAATATTTGACAGGATTTTTCCGTCAATGAGTATTCCCTTATCGTTCCAGTCCAGCGGCTTCATTACACACTACGTTGTGGCAGTAGACAGCTTTCGCGATATGGTATCGCCTTGTCGAAGTTCTTTCCCAAGGAATGTGGCAAACAGTCTCAGGAAAACTATATTTTTGCGGTCCATTTTCTATAACAATCAGTTAAAGTTTTTATGAGGGATTGGTTCATTCCTTGCTTAACGAGTGATGATAGGATTACATTCGTCTGGACGCTGTCAAACTACTTTCATTGTTGATAATGGTTAGGATAAGAAGCACTCATTCCTCTCAGCAAGTTTTTTGACCCGTAAAATGGTTTGGATGAGGTCCGCGCAGCAGAATCTCTGTAGTAATCCGGCTTGCTCAACTGGTTGTGTCTAATCCAAGGCCTTCGATGTGCGCAAAAGGATAATCTTGGTGAACAGGTTGTGGATATACTCGTCAAGCACATCGAACGATAGTTATGAAGTTTCATACAGTCAACTTTCTTAGGCAGGACAACCGTGCGTGACGTCTGCACTAGTCTGGAATCTCTTCTTCTTGGAGGCAATGTGTCGTCAGAGTTGGAGAAGTCCATGTAAATTGCAGTTTTAAGCTTTAAGAAAGCAAACGGTGATATTACCAGGTCTTGCACCTGTGTTTAAAGGTGGCTCTCTTCAACGAGGATTTTAGGGTGCAAGACGGCGATTGTAGAACAAAAAAGGCCAGTGTAGAACTTTTCCGCTAACAAATCCATATCATGGCTTAATGTTTTAGTGATTCCATCCTAATTTGTCTGGACTGACATTGAAGCATTATACTCGTACAAGTCTCGACGACATTTCTCCAGACTATTTCTTTTTATGCTGCTTCTAACAGTTCCCTCTGGCTATACTGATGTAAATCCCCAGCAAAGATCTTTTACAGGTGGCATTTATTAATGTTCGCGCTAAATGCATTAGAGTAGGACCAAGCGTTACTTTCTTTCTCTTATTTAGGAGCTCCTTTATGGTAATGGAGATGATATCCGGTTTTATTGCTTCATGAACTGAGGCAATTTCGGCACAGCTTTCAAGTTCTTCTATAAGCGGCTTCTTCTCTTCGCTTTTCTTTAATCTGCCAGTCACGTTTGAATAGGATTTTGCTCAGAATTTTTTCGTTATGTACAGCTTGATATTTTTTTTGGTCGATGACATAAATTTTCTTCCATCTTAAAGCCGATTCAAATCCTCGTGTGGAGAACGCGGTGATCAAAGCCAATATAGAATAATAGAACAACCAATACGTCTAGTAGCCACCACCTGTTTGTAGGCGTATGGTCTGTCTATCTTCGCATGTGTCGTACAGTTAGGTGACCGCCATGGCCAGCGACGACTTTCTCCTAAGAAAATTTATTTCCATCGAAAAGTGTAGCTGCGGATAGAAGTCTTGCAAAACAGTTTCTATTTCCATCTCCTTTTCTTAACTTAAATTACTTACATGCTTGATACTTAAATGGCTCGTCCTCACTGGTTGTGTGGGCTCCAGCATAATCTCCATTATTCGGAGACTTACTGATTAAGCTATTATGGTTCCCTGTAGTCCCGAGGTCAGCCTGGCTAAAGTCTGTCCCAAGTCTTCACCACCACGGAGCAGTCGTAGCCCTTGTGGATCAGAGAGAGATTTACCACCATGTGACTCTGATACCAAGACGGTGGTGGATCATGGTATTGGTTTACTCTTAGCTAGGCTTCCTGATAGAAACGCCGGACTCCTTCTCAGCTTGAGAGAGCTTGCCAGTGGATGAATCCCCCGCTGTACATCGCAGTCGGACACCCAGGAACTCCTGCCAGCCACGATGAGGCGGTAAGCCGTTGGGAGGTAACATAAATTCTCTCATCTTAAATACGTTTTTTTTGGTTTTTTACAATTTGGCATTATCGCTTTCACAAACGACTTTATAGCACTTTACAGGATCAAAAGCACTCTTCTTCCACATTCTCACCATGAGAAATGAAAATAAGCATCCTCATTTTGGTGCTTTCATGGCAAAAGGAAACCACTTGGCAATCTTTAATCAGATCTTTTTTGCAATTATGAAGAGGTCTACATGTTGTAATTCCTGAATTCGAATTGCAGACGTGTTCGGACTACAAGTACTTTGAAATTTCCAAATGAGTTTTGATGTTTACTTTCAGCTGCTCATCGAGGAATCGGATTCTTATAGTCAAATGGTTGAAAAGTTGACTCGATGGGGTATCGAGTTCCACTTTAAACGTCTTATGAAGCCTGTCGATAGGACTGAATACAATTTCAATCCGGCTGTCGTGAACGCTTTTTACTCATCCACGTCAAATTCTATCAGTAAGGACGCTAAGATATTAATGCCCTCTTTGAATAAATAAAAATGCCGATAAGACTAAACTAGTGAAACTCGCGTAATTTGTCTAAAAAGAAGTGAGATGAGAAACTTTGAACGATATTCCATGTCATTTTCCTGCTTTCTAGAGTTTCCTGCAGCCATCCTTCAAGCGCCGTTCTTCCACCAAACCTTTCCAAAGTGAGGTTTTAATAGATAAGAGATTCTTGACGAAATCTTAATAGTTGCTTTAAAAAAAAAGAATAAGGGAAATAAGAAGGAATTTATGAAATGCCGCATGCTCATCAACACAAAAGCAAGCAAAGCACAATCTGCCGATCTAATTTCAGAGCACTGAACTATGGAGGAATTGGAGCGGTGATTGGACATGAGATCACTCATGGATTTGATGATGAAGGTATTTCGATTTATTTCTACAGCTTTAAATACCCTATGGTTTTCTGATAATAAGAAAATCCACCATACTACGCAGCTTTTAATGTGAACTTAAACGAAATCACTTTCCCTCAAACTAAAGCAAAATCAGTACCCAGGCATAGTTTGGAAACTGGAGTCAACAATTTCATTTTGCTTTCCACTTTTCTCAGCAGAAAACGAAGAGTTTATATTTAAAGGGAACCATACAAACTTCCCACGGCGTTAGAGGATGTACTAGGGTGTATGCAGATTATAATTTGCATATTTAATAAGCCTTTAACTGGAAAGTTCATAGGAAGCTGTGCATGGTTGTGGTTCCACTAGTAAATCCACAGGAAGATCGGATAACAAAGGGCACGAGTTCGCCGGAATATTTTCACCGCCATTCTGTTTTCCTGAGCTCCTTAATCACCTGCCGAACAATTTGTAACCGCTAAATCCCAGGACCGATTTTTTGTTAATCTCAGCATTCCTCAATGATTCACTGTTTTCTTGATAAGCAGACAGCTGGTTGTAATTCCACGAGTTATTGACAATAGCTGAGCTTTCAACGGTTTCATCTTTTTCATATTCTGGAAAGATGTTAACTGCAGCCTAGTTAGCCATACACCTTTATAACCTCAACAGAAAAACTACGAAACCTAGATTTCAACTGCATTAGGAACAGAACAGCTTCTTCACAAACGCACTGGTTTCTAAGAGTCCTCAAGTGGGTACCCCACGTGAACACCAATCGTACAGAGTTCACACGGATGAACAGTGCCCCATTTACACACTAAAATATCAGTCTGAAATGCTGTGCGAGATCAAGTTTGATAAAAGAGCATTATATGCATTCTATACTACAACAAAGCAAATTATGCAATTATGCATTTCGCATAGACGGTCATGCATGCGATTACAAATTCCCGTCTCAGAGTGTTTGGTAGTATTTCAATCACCATTTTCTCTAAACCTGCCTGCTTTATTCAGAGTTTTACAAGTCCATTTACTTCTCTAGAAATGAAAGCTAGGCTAATCGTTACCTCATTTCGATAAACTTAGCGTTTTGGAGTGTGCTTTTTGCTCTAGACCTATCTCGGGCAGCTACCGTTCCCCAGTCATTGAAAATGACATTTTTTTACGCTACGTTCAGAGATTCTTCCTTCTGCTATCTTTCTGGGCACACATTAGTAGCTGGTCGAAACATGTTTCTCGCGAACACCATTTTGTGTATAAGGGGTGAGTGCGACGTAATGAAGCAGTATTTTTGTTGCTAAGGTTTGCTGCAATTTGACGATGAAGATCTTTTTAGATGGGTCAATTTGAGCATCCAAAAATGGAGGCCAGTTTTTTTTTCGATTTTTCTTGGGTAAATTACTATCCATTCAACAACTCAAAACATTTGTTCATTTCTCCTTGTACGATGTTTCCACCTTAAACATAAATGCAATGGCAAGGCTTGGTGCCAATCACTGTCCCATTGCCAACCCTCTCATTTATGCAAAATACTACCCGGACCATCTGAAGATTGAGCAGTTTAGGCACTTCTTTAGGAGAGCTATGAGCTGCTAAATCGAAAATCCGTGCATATTTATTGCCCCTTGTTCTTGTATGCAGGAAAACGCAGTTGGCTTGCATTTCACTGTCAATCGACAAAGGGGCGGTAACGTCGAAGGACTCTACCACATACGCTCTGTAAGGATGCGTGTTTTGTAAACGATCTTGGAACAGTTCGGTGATCTTAAAATGGGCTTGGAAGTGCTTGAAGGTCTATGTATTAAATTTTATCGGGTGAGGTTATGGAAGCGTTGGAACAAGTAGATTGTGATTATTTTCGACCTTTTCAATCTTTGAAGGAGAAGGCACCAAAACTCTAGTTATTGCGAGAAAATGGTGTAATAACAACTTCGTGTCTGCTCATAAAGAGAACGGTAATTACTAAATCTTCAGTACGTCCATAAGAAAGCAATCGAAGCCACAAACAGTACTTTTTTTTGCTCACAGGTAGACAATTCGATGCCGTCGGAAATCTGCGAGACTGGTGGGACGGCGAAGTGCAGAACAAGTTCAAAAAGCGTGCGCAGTGCATCATTGACCAGTATGACAAGATAGAGGTGTGTTTGAATAGTGAAATCATGGAGAGTTTTTAATATATATCCAATATTCAAGCAAGAAGAACTCTTGAAAATTTAAAGTCAAGCACAATGAAGCTGATATATTTGCAAAACTCCGGACACAGGCGTCTGCGGTGGGGAACGAATGCGCTGTTACCCTTTCCAGAAGCTAACGAGTTCACCACTACACCATGCAGGTCCTTCGTTTCGTCTTCACCATTGTGATTTCAATTGCAGCCTTAGCCTAACTGGGTGGAATGCCGATTTTCACTCCCCAGACCCTTCGATGGGTGATTGATGATGGCACTGATCGATAGAACTAGCTGAGAGACAGGCGAAACGAAGAACGTGCATGGTGTTGTGGTAAACGTGTTAGTCCCCGGATATGGTAATAACGCGTTTGTTACCCAGCGCAGACACCTGCGGTCCAAAGTTTTGCAAATATCTCAGCATCATGGTGGTTGTATTTCGTATTATAGCCCGCCGCGAAATTTATAGTAGGCAGCAAATAAAAAAGTTAGCATTAAAATCAAGCATTTGCACAAATAACCTCATCTTGGGGCGATTGTATGGTGTTCTTCTTTCTGTTGTCTGATTTGGAATGCGAAACCAACAGTTCCTTTGTGCAACAGAGAAGAAGAGGACATGTTTGCAATGTTGCTAATTAGTCGCCATTTAGTGAATTTGGGCAGTAAACCAATGAATGGAAGGTTTCTTCTAAAAGAATTTGTTGTAGGTTCCTGGAACTGACCTACACGTCAAGGGTAAGCTAACACAAGGAGAAAATATCGCCGATAACGGTGGAGTAAAGCAAGCGCTCAAGGTGAATCTTTGTTTCCAGAATGATAATCAGACTTATAAATGGGAAAATATAGAGAAAGTATCGAAAATAAATCCCTTTTCTTAGAAAACTCGAAACACTTTGTAAAGATTTCAAATAGGAGAACTATATTTTTAGGCGTACAGAAATTATCTGAAGAAATTTGGAGAAGAAGAACGCATTAAGGGATTGGAAAAATACAATAATGAGCAGATGTTCTTCATAGGATATGCTACGGTAAGGTGACGCTGATTCTTTTTTTCCTGTGTCTGCATCACTCTACATTTTCCTTCCTGCTTTTTTCCTTACTCTATCACCAATAAGGCATGACTTCAGTAGGACTGTTGCTTTCACCGTTTCAAAATAATTATTGGCCGTACTATTATATTGCGCAAAGTAGAGGGGTTACAATATCTTATCTCAAGGGACTCATTGGTTCAACACACAAACCTCATGTACAGCTTTTGAACTTGACGGTCACTTTTTTTTATGTAGACTTAACTAAAACTGTAATTGCAAAAGATTTGAGCACTGATACTTCGTATATTTGCAAAGACAAAATCACGGTCCTCACGGTCCACGGTTGGTATCATTTTCTATTTGAATCGTATTTCTCTTGACTTACGAAACTCCACGCTAGTCTACCGAGGTAGTAATGTCAGTAATGCCAGTGCCTTCTTGAAGTCACAAAGTTCCTACGTGGTCTTGTAGCTAGGAAGGACGTTCTCTTTGCTTCATCCAGGGCATTGACCGAAAGGGTCAACCATATACTGTCCACAGAAAGATTCGAAATTTTTTTCAACAATGAATTGCGCCACGGATACTTAATCGCTGCAGGAACACCCTCCACATAGATGAGAGAAAACAGTGATAAAACGAAAGGCACTTTATCTGTAACAAAAAGCCTAAACTCTGCGCCATTTTCGGCGAAATGCTTTTAAGAGAGTTTTTTATATCAAGACAAAATAATGACGGAAATTGTTGAAAGAAATAATTCACAGATCTGGTGTGGCCATTCGACAGCTGACTCCTTGATCAACCTCATTCTCACCGATCCTCATGCTCCTCAACAATATCGGTATGTGCCTACCCCAATAGCTAATTTCGTAAAGGAAGGCGTATTTTTACCTAATTACACTGTGCAGCCTTGCCGTATCAAATCTTCGAAGCTTTCACCCACAAAGTGTAAGGTTGCCACAGGGCTGTCACAATGCAATTCACATAGTCAATTACTGTAGAGACTCAGTAACCGTTGTTATTCGTGGTTGTCCTAGTGAGTCTCTGAGTAAAAAACTTTAAAGAAGGAAATCTGAGCCAAGGTTCACATCAGTGAATATTTGGAGTATTATTTTTGGAGTGTTTAAGTGTCCAATATTTGGAGTGTTTCCACTCTAATTTCTTCTTGTCGTAACTTCAACTTTTTTTCAGTGTGAATCAAGTGCTTGCAAATCAACCAGAATTCGCCGCCGCATTCAACTGCGGTGTTGGTACACCAATGAATCCAACGAAGCGTTGCGCTGTTTGGTAATGAAAACGGCGTCGACGTCATATACTACGCATAATAATTATCTTATTTTATGATGTTCTTTCCTGGTTGTACACTTCTGTTTTCTGCTCAACAAATATCGACTGTAAAAGTTGCCCTTTTTGCTAATGTCAGCGGATTTTCTATACAGGTACGAATGCGCCAACTTTAATAGGTATCATGTGTGAAGAAGGGAAAGGCGTTATATTTCAATGGCTCCACTTAAAATGTGCTCATGCTACGATGGGCTTCGCAAAGCCGTCCTAGCTAATAGTTTCACGACTCAGACGCTTCCCCACCTTGCGTAACGGCTTTAATATCATGTGAATTACCATATCACCATAAGAAGTGAGCGAAGTGGGAAAGCTGATTAAGTGAACTGCGCGCACGTAGTACGAACAACATTTTTTGCTAAACAGTTTTGATAAAGAATTGTCACTACCATCATCTACCTTTTTATTTTTCTAAAAACCATACACTTTACACTCTTTTTGTATTTGGAGAGCTCTTGTAATTCTTTGCTTTAGTGTATCTGAAAGCTAAATTGTACTCAACGCAATATGTTCTATACTTAATCAGGTGGCCGGTTCTCACTTTTCTGGAAGTTAACAGGGTTGCTCTTTAGGCTGTTTCTTGCGCTGTGATGTTGAGACTGTTAGAGGAAACCGGTGTTCAATATTAGTCAAAAATAAGGGACACTCTTACCTTTCCAGACTGGAGAATTGCTACCAGACTTATCTGTATTAATCACAGCCTCTTTAAATCAAGTTGGAGTGTTCTATCACGGTTATCCCAGGACTCCAAAAAGAAATCGACTGCAGTAGCATTCAACAACATTTATAAAGAAAACGGCAATACTCAAGCAGAAGCTGAAGCCACAGTTCGAAGACCGTGGAAGATGGATGCGAGAAAATGAATCAAATGCGAGAAAATGCTGGAATCAGCACAGTAGATATGAAAACGGGTAATCTAAAATAAGAATTGGTAAATTCAACTCCTACTTTCTCTGCTTAGCATTTAGTAGAAAAAGCAAAGAGAATCCATACATATACCAAAATCTCGCCACTACTTTTTGTGAGTGAATGATTCGCTTCCTTCTTAAAATTGTTGTTTTCATGTGCTTTTATATTCTTATTCTTTACTTTGTTGAAATAAGGTGGTTAAAATCTGTTAATGCAATATTTGCCTTCTAGTGAGTGTTGTTTCCTCGAATGCTTTCTTCTCGGGAGCCTGAGAATGGTCGTGTTAGGCAATCTACTAGATCTAACACTTTGCTAACCCAAACGAAAAATTCAAAAGCCAAGTTGCAGTTGCATGATAAAATGTTTAACTTTCAAGAACTAAAACCGTCAAAATATTGTGACTAATGATATGCCGATCTCTGATCAAAAACTGAGCTGAACTGCTATGGGCAGCTTTCATAAAAACAATTTTCTCTGTGTTATGGATAACTGGTATGGTGCGAACATTAGCCTATCTTCCGTTCTTTCGTTCGCGATCGTCGCCATGATGGTGCTTTGATTCGCCTATGGTGACATCTGCCAGTATCAGTCCGTATTTCATGAGTCATTTCCAGTCGCGAATGCAGCTGATTGACGGGAGCCAAGCCACAGCATTATCTGCGTGCCGGTTATATTTAGCTGAGATGGTCCGGAATCACTGTTTTGTTACAAACACCTAGCACCTGTGCAATCTTGCGAATCTTTTTGCGTCAATAAGCTTCAAACAACTTTAAACGTTCATCATATATGACACTGGGTGTGTTTCAATCTTCTTCATTCTTAAAGATGTAAAGCTTAATACAAAGGTATTAAAATGAACGCTTCACAAAACTATCATTTACTACCTCTCTCGACACGGATCTTGTGAGCACTATCTGTAGCTCTATACCAGGTTTTCAGTAGAGGAAAAAATTTATCAAACTTTGTATTTTTACTGTGTTAACATAAACTGGCATATATTATGTCGAAAACATTAAAATAAACTTATAAAATGAAGTCCGTGCTTATTTTCGCGACAAAGCGGCTTTTTGGACACGATAGGGACTTCGATATATATATATATATATATATATATATATATATCACCTATATATATATATATCACCTAACGTCCTGTTTACCGTCGAGGCATTGGAACGGGCGCCAGTAAAGTCCTCATTTCTAACAATTGCAGGCAAGAATAGTCCAGTAGGTTTTAAACGCTCTACGGGCTCGCTGAGTATCTCATCCTCGTTCTAGAGTTCTCATCAAAATTCTGCTCATCGAATCGCAGCCATGCCACCGTGCGTTGGACACATCGTGGAATTCAGTCGCTGACGCTTCTTGTCCATGTCGTTCATACGAATCATTTGTTCTGTCCACCTCATCATTGACGATTTGAAGTATTGAATGCCGCCTTTGGCTTTTTACATTGACGTAGGTGGCAGCTTCAGATTCCCAATCTCATTGCGTAATGCAAGATAGCATTGTCCGTTCGATGCTCGTTCTATAACGCTGAATGATTTTTCATCCTGCTTACGTAGCGACCGGGATGCGTTTCTGACGCATCTGTTAAAGCACGAAGAATCGTGGAGTCGAAAAGGTGAGCATGGAATCAGGTATTCTCTGCTCTCCTCATTAGATCGTCGATGGTGTTGAGAACTTCCCAAGCCCATCGCTTTTTTCTGGTCAACTCTAAGCTAGGTTATTAATCAATCACGTTGACCTCCAGATATCACAGACGTAATTGGCGCATTCGGTGATATTTATTCCGTTGAGCGTGAATGAAACATACGCAATCAATCCGTTCTTTATGAACATCGTTCTTGTGAAATTTTTTTCACTGTTGAAGACCATTCTTTCCACAGGCTTTATCAAAGTCGGCAACCATTCGTTCTTCCTGGCTTATCTTTGATGTTATAAGAGCGATGTCACCAGCAAAGCAAAGACGCTATAATTGCAGACCATCGGCATCCACTCCCTTGTTGTCCCTTTCCAGTGTTGGCATGATGGTCTCAAGAATAGCTGCAAATATCTTTCGCCAATTGGTATCGCTTGGTCTGATCGCTGCTTTTAGATTTATGTTAGTATCGCTAACGAGTAATAATATCCTGGCTGTGAAATTTCAATATAGATGACGAAAGATCTTTACATACACGGCCTAGATGTCCATGTCTTCCACGACGGCTTCTGTTCCAATTAAGTTGAAAGCTCTCCTCAGACCGATGAAATAGAGAGCGAGAGGTCTCTAGTGCTGTCATAGTGCTCCGGTTAAACAAAAGTATGCTACTGTTATAATCATTCTCCTTGTTTAAATGTTTATATATGCAACGGTGGGCGCGTGTGGCGCAGTGGTCAGAGGCGCAATGCAACCCACACGCAGAATCGATTCCCGCTCCCATGGTCCACCAAGCCCTCAATCGCTCTGAGCTCGGTAAATTGGTACCAGACTTGTCTGGAAAGATAGCAGCACTGGTTCGATATTTCGGAAGGCCTCCGCGACTCATTGTAAAGGCCAAATATGCATTCGATCACCACCAGAGGATGCTTAATGAAGTCGAATGCATGGCGTACGATTATTCAACGCCGAGATCTTTATCTCTTTTATCCCTTATATGCATCAGTATAACATACTGCACTCATGAAATTATTCGCTGGTTGAACACTTATTCTATTCCAAAACATCACTACAACACTAGTGCGTCGATCGCAGCCATCGCAATATGGCTTCATCAAGTATTTTCTGAAACTCAGTTGGGATTTTGCGGATAATTCCTTCGTTTGGTTTGTTGTCTCGTATCAACTATCTACAGTGGCCCTCGGATTTTCGTGTGAATTCGGCATTCGGCAGCCATTTGAGGATTTTGTCGTCTTCACGGTTGTCGCTGAACGTCGACCGAGCTGATTCCTGGGATGAACCCTCACTCAAAGGTACAAATTAAGATTTCGAAATTTCTAGCCGAAACCCTACACCTATAAACGTCAACGACATTGGATATCATCATCACGTTTTGCTGGACGGAATTCCGTTCGTTGAAGTGCTTCCCCGTCTGAAACATGGACCTCAACGAAAATATGAGCAGGACACGACTTCTGAGATCCATAAAGTTAAAGCTTTGTCGTGATGAAACATGTATCGTTTTGGAAAACATTTCTAGATTCTGCCTATTTTATTTAAATCAAAAAAGTTTCGCATCAGCTGATTGAAATTTTGTTTAGAGTTGACAGGTTACAGCACGAGGCGGGAGTAAGCCACTTAGGGAAGGAGGAAGTAGCAATATGACGTGTTGTTTTTCACCGATTGTTGAAAACACTTTCGAGCTTAGCGTTGTCAAAAGTGGAAGATAACTGAAGCAAAGTCTTTCATTTTCCCTCGGCTTTCAAGTAGAAGCAAGGTCTTGTTCAGCCATTTGCACTAAGAACAATAAGAAATATGAATGTGTCGTTTTCTTGTTCAGCAATCGCGAGGTTTTTAAACAGCATACATTTGTTACTTGGCCAACATGTCCCGTCCTATACCTACTTATTAAAACACATAAGTTGGTATCACCTGATGATCATGCGTCAACCAATCCG